TTATATGATATTTAATTTTTTTTTTGTATATATATAATTTATATATCGTATTGTATATACATGTGTGTTTGTCTATTTGGTGAAAAAATATTAGGGCAAACTTCACTTTACACCTAGTGATTTGGGCCATGTGCGGTTTATCCCCCCTAATATTTGGAAATGACCACATAACTCCCTTGTGGTTTGTGGACTGAAGTGTACCGTGAAACATTCCGTCCAACTTAACAACAGGTGTGAAACACGTGGCAGACATAAGGGGATTATATGCTCATTTTCAAATTTTAAAGGAGGTAAATGGAATATAGAATAAAGCACGGGGGGTTAAAGTACACTTTACTTTCCAAACAAATGACAAAAATACATGGCTATTTTAGTCTTTTTCATTAAATTGTTAATGGACCTAATAATGCACTCTAGTCTACAAACCACAAGGGGTTATGTGGTCATTTCCAAACATTAGGGGGATAAACCACAGATGGCCCAAACATAGGAGAGTAAAGTGAAGTTTGCCCAAAATATTATTTGTCTTTTGACCCCTGTAATGATAAAATCCTAGTTCCATTCCTTCAAGTCAAATACTGCTTTTTATAGCTAATTGTCACATACCACACTATTTTGTTTCACCTAATACCTATTATTCTATTGGGAAAAATTTATTTTACAATTTTGTCATTTGAGTGTGGAAGATTTTGTTTCTCTATAATTCAAATATATGTAGAGAGACTCGATATGATTTTGGAGCAAACTGCAACACTAACTCCGTTAATATTAATAATAAAATGACATTAGTTTTGTTTGTCTTTTTCCTATAAATCTAATTACATTTGAATATATATATGTGTGTGTGTGTGTGTGTGTGTGTGTGTGTGGTGAGTCAGAATTTCTACCTTGTTGACACTAAGAGAATGATCCACTTCACGTCGTATACCTGCAAACAAGAAACAGGTTCCGGCGGGGTGGTAAGCCTAGTGAACCCTCCGAAGCTTTAGTTAGTATCCTTCTATAGTATCAATCCATTATTCTTCTTCTCTTTTTTTTTTCTTTCTTTTTCTTTTTTTTTGGTTATCTTTTTCACATACCTTTGTTTCAGGTGTGGACCTTCTATTTATAGGAGTTCCTTGTTCTTGCATCATTGTCCTTGGTCTGAGCACGTCCCATCTCATTAATTTCTCTTCCACTGATGTGACATCTTCTTTTCTCGTAATCGCCTTTTAATGGTTTTTACTTTGCACTTATATACCTTGCCGATGTCATAAGCGACTTCTTAGAGGTGTGCGCTTGGCCAATACGAGTCTGCAACCCTTTCTGGTCGATTCCCTTCATGCAGTTTATTGAATCAACACCGATCACTATAGGCTTTAATTATGGTTACCATAAATGCCCCCTAAGCTCCAATTCAAGCCCAACGTTTGTATTGTGTGGTCAGCATAGTACGTCTGATGTAAATGTTCTTGTCGTAACGTTTTCCTTTTGAGTGAAGTGATTACGGACATGTGGCCTCTTGTGATTGACAAGGTATCCTAGGAACTTTCCCACACCAATGCCGAATGCACATTTAGAGGCATTGAGTTTCATCTGATACTTCCTGAGAATTTGGAATGTATTCGTCAAGTCTTGGATATGATTTGACTTTGACTTTAACTTGGATTTTACCACCATGTCATAAATGTAAACTTTCATTGTCTTCCTCAACTCTTTTTTGAACATTTTCGTGCATTTGATAAGTTGCACAAGCGTTCTTTAGTCAGAACGACATCACCTTGTAACAATAAATCCCTCTCGGGGTAATGAACGCCGTTTTCTCCTGGTTTTCTTTGTGCATGGCAATCTGATGATATCCTTTATATGCATTAAGAAAACTCATTCTCTAATGGAATGCCATTGTAGCAACCAGCTAATCTATGCACAACAGGGGAAAGTAGTCCTTTAGGTACGCTTTATTCAAATTGTTGAAATCGACACAAACTTGCCATTTGTCGTTCTTTTTCTTCACAACCACCGTATTTGAAAGCCATTCCTAATATGAGACTTCATGAATTACATCGGCTTCAAACAATTTTTCGATTTCTTGAATCACCACGTCAGTGTGCTTGACTACTAATCTTCTACTTTTTTGCACATCGGGTTTGACGATTGGATTAACATTAAGTTGGTGAATCGTTATCTCGGGGTCAACTCCCGGCATTTCATACGGAGTCCATGCAAATACATATACATTGGCGAGCAAGAGTTGAGTGAGCTCTTCGCCTTCAGATGGTGACAATTTAGCTCCAATCAAAAAAAATCTTTCGAGGTCGTAAGGGGAAATTTGAATTTTCCTCAAATCTTCCGTTGCTTTTCTCTCGTAGGTTTCCCAACATCTTCGAGGACTTCCTAATTCGATAAGTTGATAGTGTGGACACAAAGTTTATTTTGATTTCCTTATGGTACCCGTCATGTAGCATTCTTTAGCCGCTACATGACACCCTCTGATTTGTTTCACTCCATGTAGCGTAGAAAATTGGAGAAGCTGATGAAAAGTACTCGGTACTACCCTTAAGGTATGGAGCCAAGTTTTCCCTATGATAACATAGTATGGTGAGGGCAGTTTTACAATAAGGAATCACACCTCAATTGTCTGACTCCCAGCTTTCATGGGGAGGACTATGCATCCAATGGGATTTGCGTTAAAGCCGAATAGAGGATTCTGTGATGGCTTTAAGTCATCTTCCTTAAGGCCTAATTTCTTGAAAGTTTTGTAATACATGATTTTTGTCGTGCTCCCCTGGTCAACTAGAATCCATTCCAACAAATACTTGTTTATGTGCAAAGTGATCAGCAAAGCATCATCGTAGGGGAGACTGACCCCAACAAGATCTTCATTACAGAAGCTAATTCTGTGGTTCAAGGTGCATTGTTGATTGAGGCCGAATTGTATATCATTGAGGCAGATAAATAATATTTCTTATCCTTATTCTCCATTCAATTTGTACATTTTACGTATGTTTAATGTCAATCAGATTGGATGTGGTGGAAGCAAAAAAAGAGAAAAAACGTTGCATTTTAGCCAAAAATATACTTCCCGCACGTGTCGCCTATCCACCGAAGCCAAACCGAGACTGCAAAAATTGCACGTGTGGAGGGTTTTTCCCCCATGTGCGGAACCTTCGCTGCACGTGTGGTGACATTTCCCGCATGTACGGTCGTACTTTGGTTTGCATAATTTTTTTTACGCCTATTTGGAATGCTGGAGAAGTATAAAATGCAGAAAAAAGGCTGGATTAGGGTTTTGAAATTTTCCAAAGGGAGATGCTAGGGTTGAAGAAAAGGGTTTTTCAAGCTTCAAGAATATCTCCCATAGTGGCTCCCTCTTCCTCTACCTCTTCCTACTCCTTCATGAGTGGCTAGTTCTTATCTTTATAGGGTTTTGATGAAACCTTAGCGAATAGGGTTTTCTCTTTGGTTTTTGATTGTGTAATGGTTTGAATGAGTTGAACGGTGTTTACGAAGTTTTTAAATATATTTTTCATCATTCTCTTCAAGTATTCTACTTTCTGTGATTGTTCAATACTTTCCATGCAATGATTTTCTATTATTTTGTATTCAAGGTATGAGACGAGCCATACTATGAGGGACGAGTCGCGTTGCTACCCTAGTTTAGAGCGAATGACTCGTGCTACTTGAGATGGTTTGTGCCTGTACATTGAATGAGTTAATTGTCTTGATCAATGCTTCAAACTTGTAGTTACGAAGTATTAAGTGGTTCGAACCATACCATAATTGATTTCCAATTTGAGATCTTATTTATGTAACTAGTGATGAATTCATCACCCTAGGTTTTTCCCAAAAAATAAGTATCTCAAACTTTATTTTTTAATTACCAATTCAAATTCTTAGTTTTATTTTAATTATCATTAGTTTATGAATCATCAATCTTATTATCAAAATTAATTTAGGAATTTAATAGTTAAATTAGTTTAATTTCACATTTGTCCCAGTGGATCGATGGCTGGAATTATTTTTATTTTGAGGAATTTAGGTACAGTTTAGTGTTTATTTTTGATGTGTAAAATGACCCATCAAATTTTGGTGCCGTTGTTGGGGACTTCTGGCGAAATTAATTAATTTAAAGTTAAATTCTTATTTTAATTTTTAGCTTAGGATTTTATGTTTTTGTGTTGCTAAGTGTGCAAAGTTTTCCCGAGTGGAGCTATCGCCAAAGTGCAAGCAGAGCGCAACCGAGCTTTGGAAATATATATATATATATATATATAAAACGCAGTACTAAAGTGCTAAAAGCGAATACTCGCAAGCAAAGCACCAAAGTGTTAAAAAGAGAGAGCTTAAGTGGAGATTGGAGACAACGGTCTACACGTCAAGCACCCGCAAGACGAGTAAAGCATTTTTGTTAACCACTGTGAGTATTTCCTTTTTTGGTATTTTGTTTTCGTAATTTAGCAGAAGAGTCTGAACTTAGTATGTGTGTGAGTGGTGTATACATAGGCGCTGTTCTTGCCACCCTGAACTTTGAAGTTTGGATCTTGAGCTAGAAAGGACTCTTAGAAACCTTAAGAGCCTCTTTCCATGTTCCTAGGCTTTAAAACCCATATCCATATGTAGAACCATTAGAGATGGCTGAATAGAATCCTCTCCCGAATGGGCCCAACCGGATCCTTAAGGATTACTTTACACCCACTGTATATACATCACCATCATGCATTCAGTTACCAGACACCATAGCTTCTTATTATGAGATTGAGTCTAGTACCATCCAAATGCTCCCATCATTCCATGGACTAGCTCATGATGACCCTTATAAACATTTGCACAATTTTTTGGAAATTTGGTCTATAATGTATATCCAGAATTTCATCAATGAGGCCCTAATGTTGAGATTGTTCCCATTTTCACTCAAGAACAAAGCTAAACACTGGTTGAACTCCTTGCTAATTCTATCACAACATGGGACCAATTACATCATAAATTTTTGGAGAAGCACTTTTCCATTGGTAAAACCAACCAACTTAGACAAGACATCACTAATTTTGCTCAAATTGATGGCGAGCAATTTCATGAAACATGGGAGAGACTTCATGACCTTCTCCAACAGTGTCCCCACCATCAAGTGCCTGATTGGCAACTTGTCCAAACCTTTTACTATGGCTTAACTAAGCCTCATCGCCAATTGGTGGGTCCATCCTGTGGGGGGACATTTATGTCAAAAAGTGATGTTGAGGCATGGCAATTACTTGAGAACTTGAGTGATAATTCGCTTTACCATGCCTCCGCAGCCTAGCAAGTCCAGCAACCTGTTGTTGGAGCCCTGAAAAGAGGGGGCATTTATAAGTTTGGGTACAATGTCGAGTTAGCCCAACAAGTAAAGGCGTTGTCCCATAAAATGGACTAGTTTTTAGCTTTAAGACATGCCCCTACATAGCCAGTGTAGCCTTAATTTAATGAGACATGTGTTATTTGTACGAGCCCTGCTCATGATTTGAGTGAGTGCCTTTTGGCATCATAATTTTTGGAGTTAGTCCAGGAGCATGTGAATGTAGCTTATGGATTCTCCAAACCTTGTAATGACCCATATTCCAACACATACAACAGAAATCACCTTAACTTTTCATAGAGACCTTCTTCACACGACACTTCTTATAATCCGCCCCTACTAAGGTAGAATTTTAATAATTTTGCTAATCAATCTTCATACCGCCCACTACAACCTTACCAACAACCACAAGCTCTCTATTTCTCAAGGTAACTCATCCTTCGAGACTCAGGTATTGGAAGTTCTTTAAGAGCTTAAGGGGTTAGCACTAGTAGTTCACTTTCACACTCACTCCATTGCCAAGCTAGAGGCCTAATTAGGTCAAATGGCTAATAACATGAATAAGAGAGATGAAGGGAAATTACCAAGTCAGACTGTGGCTAACCGTAAGGGTCAATATAGGGTAGAGGGTTTGAGTGGAAGTTGAAAGCACCATGAACAGGTGCAGACAATAATTACTTTGAGAAGTGAAAGGGAGTTAGAGCCTCAGCCAGTTGCATCTGATGCAACTAGGGCTAAGAAAGGTGACCACGATGGTAAGCCCAATGAGAGCAAGGGTGAGAGAAAACACCTAAGGGGGATGACTTGGCCCCTAGTACTTCACATGAGCCTAAGGTACGTTATATGCCTAAGGTACCCTTTTCCCAATGCCTTGCTACCCCATCCCCTTTTAATAAGAAGGCAGCATCCATGGAAGCAATGATGGAGGTTTTTAAACAAGTGAAAATCAACCTCCCCGTATTGGAGGCAATTAAGCAAGTACCCTCTTATGAAAATTTTTTGAAGGACCTATGTACGCAAAAGTGTAAATCTAGGACACACGTGTCCCAAAAGGTTATACTCACGGACCAAGTAAACTTCATCTTGTTAAGTGACATACCCTTAAAGCTTAAAAACCCAGGTGCCTTAACCATTGCATGTGTTATAAGGGACCATGTCATTGATAGGGCCTTGTTAGATTAGGGGGAGTGTCAATTTGTTGTTGTACTCTATATACGTGGAATTCGGGCGTAGCGAGTTGAAGCCCACCACTATCACACTCCAGTTGGCTAACTGGTCACTCAAAGTGCCACGTGGCATGATTGAGGATGTGCTAGTAAAGGTTGATAGGTTTTATTTTCTTGTTGATTTTTTAGTTTAAGACATGGAGCCGGTAGCTAGCTCTAGCAAACAAATTACGGTGATCTTAGGTCAACCTTTCCTGGCCACGGCCAATGCGTGTATAAATTGTCATATCAGGGTTATGGATGTTTCATTTGGCAATATGAAAATGAAAATCAATGTCTTCCAAGCATCCTAACATCCCCCTGAAAGGGAGGAATGTTTATTTGTGGATGTTGCGAATGGGATAGTGGAGGAGGCTTTACCCTTCATTCTCGTTGAGAACCCTTTAGAGGTTTGTCTCGCTAATTTCGGGTTCGAAGATTTTGATATTGACGAGTCAGTTGAGGAAGTGAATGCCTTAGTCGATTCTTCTTTTACACCAGATTTTCCTTCATGGAAAACCTAGTTTGAGTCCCTTCCTTCTCTATCTAGGGAGCCTGCTGTATCATCTCTTGTCACACCACCTACACTCGAGTTGAAGCTACTCCTGACCACACTTAAGTATGCATTTTAAGGGTCTAAGGACACTTTACGAGTCATCATTGCATCTGACTTAACTGCAGAGCAGGAGAGTCAATTAATGAGTGTTCTCATGGCACATCAGAGTGCTATAGGGTGGTTAGTGGTCGATTTGAGAGGAATAGATCCTTCCGTGTGCATGCATCGTATACATGCAATGGAGGCTATATACCCTATCTTGGATTATAAGTAGGTGAGCCCCACACAAGTGGTGCCCAAGAAATCGGACATCACTGTTGTTGAGAATGAGCAAGGAGAGTTAGTCTCCACACAAACCACCACCGGGTGGTGAGTGTGCATTGATTATAGGCAGTTGAATTCCATGATAAGGAAGGATCATTTTCCATTGCCATTCATTGATCAAATCCTTGGGAAGATGGTTACTCGGGCTATAATCAAGTTTTGGTATGCCCGCTGACCAAAAAAAGACGACATTCACTTGTCCTTTCGGTACTTTTGCGGTTAGGCGCATGCCCTTTTGGCTATGTAATGCATTGACAAATTTTCAATGGTGTAAGATGGCCATTTTATGCAATATGATGGAGAAATTCGTAGAGGTTTTCATGGATGATTTCTTAGTATTTGGACCATATTTTGAGGAATGCCTTAAAATTTTGACTAGAGTGTTGGAACGATGTATTGAGGAAAACTTAATCTTGAGTTAAGAGAAGAGCCATTTTATTGCTCGTGAGGGTATTATGTTGAGATATGGAGGTAGACAAAGCTAAGGTTGACCTTATCTTAGGTCTTCCTTCACCCACTTCTGTGCACCAAGTATGATCTTTCCTAGGGTATGCGGGTTTTTATTGCCGATTTATCAAAGATTTTAGAAAAATATCACGTCCCTTGTGTAGTTTACTTGCCAAGGACACACCTTTTGTCTTTGATAATGCATGTTTGAGGGTTTTTGAAACACTTTTAGTGGCTCTCACTTCCACCATAATCATGCAATCACCGGATTAGTCTTTTCCATTTTAAATCACGTGTGTTGCCTCAGACTATGTTGTCTAGGTTGTGTTGGGCCAAAGGGTGAATCGAGCACCCTATGATATTTATTATGTTAGTCGCACTCTTTCAAATGCACAATTGAACCGCACTATTATCGAGAAAGAATTACTAGCCGCGGTGTTCGCCTTGGACAAATTTTGGTCCTATTTCCTAGGTTCTAAGGTCATAGTTTTCACTGATCACGCCACTTTCGGTACTTATTATCCAAAAAAGAGACCAAACCTAGGTCGATTAGATGGATTCTACTCCTTTAGGAGTTTGACTTAGAAATCTGAGACAAGGAGTCTGAGAATGTGGTGGCAAATCATCTCTCCTGAGTCCTTGTTGAGCACACTAGTGATCCCTTAGCTTTGCATATTCGTTTTTGAATGAACAACTTCTTGCGGTGTCACGAGTGAACCCTCTGTGGTTTGCTCATATTATGAATTACTTGGCCATTGGGAAGATTCTAAAGAATTGGTCTAAGCGAGACAAAGATCAATTTTTCTCACAAGTTAGGTATTATTTTTGGGAGGATCTAGAGTTGTTTAAATAGTGCCTTGATCAAGTGATTCGACAGTGTGTGCCGGAGAGTGAAGTGCGTAGCATTCTTACATTTTGTCATTCTTCTGCATGTGGCAACCATTTTAATAGGCATAAAATGGCTGCCAAGGTTTTACAAAGTGGGTTTTATTGGTCCAACATTTTCAAAGATGCTCACCAATTGTGTAGAACTTGTTTGTCCTGTCAGCAAATGGGTTCGGTGTCTTGTTGTGATATGATGCCAACACCTCTCATTCTAGTGGTTGAGATTTTCGATGTTTGGGGTATTGATTTCATGGGTCCTTTCTCAACATCATTTGGTTTTGCGTGTAATCTCTTGGCAGTAGACTATGTTTCAAAATAGGTGGAGGCTACAGCTACCCGAGCAAACAACCATAAAGTGGTGATGAAATTTTTGCATGAAAACATTTTGTCATTTTGGGTTTCCTAGGGCCACAATAAGTGATCAGAGTACACATTTTTGTAATCGGTTCTTTGAGTTGGTAGTCAAGAAATACTCTATCACTCATAAAGGTGGCAGTCCATACCACCATCAAACTAGTGGCCAAGTAAATGTATCCAATAGGGAGGTGAAGAACATCATTGAGAAAATGGTTAGGCTGGATAGAAATGATTGATCAAAATGTTTGATTGATGCTTTAAGGGCCTACCACACCGATGTAGACCGCCCGAACGTCCTGAGAAAATCCCGTTTTGTTCATTGGAGCTTACTATAGTTCTGACTCAATGTCATGGTTCTGAATCTGATCTCACAAAGTGCAATGCAAGATCGATAAATCACCAAAGAGTCCAAATCCGACAAATCGTTTTGAAAAATTGATTTTTAGAAAGCAGTGCGAAACATGGATTGCTTTGCCAGATACAGAGTCGCCACCTAAATTTTTTATTTTGGAAAAATTTAGGAAACCCTGACTCGTTGCCTAAGGCCACGTGTCCGTCATCACCAAAGTTGCCTCGGCTCGGGAACTTGGGTACGATTGGGGAAGGTCATGCAATGAGCACCCCCTCTCGCCCGATCAAAGATTGGCCTTTACTAACATGATATCTTGTTTTTGAAAAACACATGCGCTCTTAATCTGGTTATTAGCCTAGAATTACTATGTGATGCGCATGGCATACAAGTATAGACTAGATCGCTTAATTTGGAACAAAGCATTGCCTATCCGTGTGTTTGAAAAAATGGTTTGAACTTTACTACCCGCAAGTAGGCTAAAACACAGATTTCGATGAATTATTCCAATTTGAAGTAATCCAACCTTCACCCACAGGCATTCAGGCAGTTATATCACATAAGCAGTTAGCCTCACGGCAAGCATGCTATCATGGCAGTCACTCACACACATGCAAGGATGCTAAAGCATAAACACTTACCGAGTACTCCGAGCCAAAACAAAAGCTATGTTAG